TTAACTTACTGTCAGAATCTTGAGAACTTGCACATACAGACATGAGCATATTAAATGTGCTCAATGTGGGGTTTGCAATAAGTTTGGTGTACTGAAAAGCTTCCTGAACAGCCTTTTTACTCTTGCAAATATTGAAAAACTTTCCATGATAAATCTACAACAAGAAAACTCGTTAAATTAGTTACTGGTAATTCAGATAAGAAAATTAATAATAAAAAGTAATACACATTTTACCTTATTCATGTCCAATAAGCCTGCTTTTTCCATATCCTGAAGTATTTTGATACATTCGTTCAACCTGAGAAAACCACAAATAAGAAGAAATAATATACAAAGATTTTCAGAACTAGTTGAAGACATAAATGAATGCAGACTTCTATCATGATTGGGGAGCGAGAGTCCCCTGGAGGTTTTTTTTTTTTTTTTTTTCTTCTTGCTATTTTGATTCATTGCAAAATAATATTAAGGGCAATCTTCAACCGTACAACATGATACAGAAGATAAGAAATATTGAATGCATGATGCATGAAAAATCGAAACAAACATACCTTCCACCTTTCAGACATTGATTGTACGCTTTATATTGATCTACATGAAGATTTTTGTTATGAACATGCTTCCCATTTGGATAGGGTAACCCATTCACAACTTTCTCTTTATGCAGACTGGCTTCTTTTCTTTCTCCGTGTCCTACAATATTGTTGCCCCCTCCAGATTTATTTTTGTCCCCTGAAGAACCTCCCTTATATTTTGCAACATGTTCTCTTCTTTCAACATATCCTGAGTTGTACAAACATTCGCTAGTGAAATGAAACATGGAACGAGGAGATGCAAAGATTTTTGAGGAAATAATGTTGGGTTACAAGAAAAGCAATTCACGTTTGCTGCCTGCTCAGAGAAACAAGGTAAGACCATCACGAACCTATTGAAGTCATTACCTGCAATTTGAAGAGAATCCTCCAACATTAGTTCTGCTCCTCTTGAGACACCGTTAATCGTCACAGAAGAAAATTTTTGGTTGTATAGATGAGAAGTACGAGAAGAAGTTGCCATTTGACTACTTGACTTTGTATCTTCATAGAACATGTAAATATCTTCTCTAGACGGTTCTTCAATTAGAAAATTGGAACCGATTAACTTCTCCATTTTTAGAAGCTCGCCATCTGCTTTGAAATCTTGAGTCACTTGATTATATACACTATATAAAGGACCAGAAACAGGCGGAAGCTCAGTTGTATCAAGCACAACGGCCAAGTCAGAGTGGGATTTGACATCAGATACATTTAGCTGCAAGTCAGCCATGTCATTGGCAAAAATAAGAGGCTGCAGGACGCCAGATTCAAAGATATCAGAAGGAAGAGAGGGATCTGCTGCTTCAGTTTCATCTGAAAACAGAGAACCACTATCCCTAGATGTGGTAAATTCAACAGATGGCGGCAATGTTTCGGTGACACTGGCCTCATGTGACAGAACTGATGTTTGAAGATGCAGAACAGTCTCTACTTCCCCAGAATTACTTCTCTCTTCAGTTCTATCCTTTACGGCTATGTTCTGCTCTAAGAAGTCACCATGATGATCCCTAAAGCCCATTACCTGATCATCGACGGACCAGTTGACGCCTCTACCTAGTTGAGATAAGGCAAGCTTTGGAGATTGGGAACGCTGTAATCAGTAAAAGATCCAGAAAAACATGTTATCTCCACAATACAATGACAGATGAGTCAATCCAACAAACTAAATTGTTGAACCCATGAAAATAACTGATATCAATTCACATTCACATTTTACGTATGAGACTAGGAATACCATGTTGTGCTTCAAACTAGTGTACTAAATATGATAAAAATTCCATAACTTAAGCAAAAGCATTTTAAAAGAACAAAATTAAGGATTCGGAAATTGTTAATATAGCTAACTCAATTATCAAATATTAGGAATAGTTTCGCGCCATTAAACTCATTAAGCAAGGTAAACTGTCAACCGCACAGCCATTTTTGCATCTGGTACGTTGATCTATCTCTCAATCAACTAAATTATCCTAATATACCTCTCCTACAAGAAAACACGACTAAAAATGAAAGAATAAATGCAAGATAGACAACAAGAATCACTCTCTTGATCATCTCCGTTCATTTTCCAAGAGCAGCTACGAATAACCAAACATTTAAAAGAAAAGGAAAGGCATTCACCAAATAGCGAATAAGAAGACGACAACAACAACAAAAAAGCAACTCCAAATCAATTTTCCCCCCATACCTCAACCGCATTCTTCTTCCTCTTATTTAAGTTCATATAGATAAACGAAACAGCCGAGAAAGTAACCACAGCAACAACGATGAGAACCGGATTGGAAGTGAAGGCAGCACGAAACATGCATCTCGGAGACTGAACAAGGAAGCCAACCTTCCGGCACCTACGTCGAGAGCGCAGAACATCCGGCGGGCGAAGATTATGAGAAGAACCGAGAAACTGGCGGCGAACGAAGCGGAGGCGAGTGTAGGAGAAGGAGGAAGAGGAATTGAGAGGAAGACATGGATTGAAGGTGAGTAATTGAGGGTTGGAAGAGAAGGAGACCTCCATGGAAGAAGGGAATGGGTTGAGGATAGAGAGAGAGAGGAGGAGGAAGAGAGGTCGTTGTGTGGGAGACTGTATCAGTGGTAGTATTTTGAGCTTGCTTTCGCTTGGTTGGTTTTTTTCGGCTGATCCACTACGTGCTGACGTGGATTTTTCCTTATTATTTTTCTCTTTTTCGAGGAATTTGAAAAATAAAATAATAAATAAACGGTTTTTTTTTTTCTTTTTTTTTTTTAAATTTCTTTTCCCGAGAAACAATACAAATCCGTCGCGTTCGGAAGCTACTGGATAGAAAACTTCGGCATAATTTCTTCTTTTATTTATTTATTTAAATTTCACCATTTTTATGAGTGAAAATGATATTGTACCAATCCCTTATGACAACTTTTCTAAAATATTTAATATTTTTTAAAATACATAATTCATTCATATTTTTATACTTTTATTTTAGTCTATTTATTTTCAAATTTTTAAAGTTAAATTTTATCCTAATTAATTAAATATATATATATATTTTTCAAACTCACTTATTATTTATTTTATTAAACTCAAATGAATAACTAATTATTTCTATTTAATTCGGCAAAACAAAGTCATCAATAATAATTTATTATCTTTTTAGTTCGATAATTACATTGTCAAAATAACTTAAATTTTTTAGATAGTAACTGATATAATATCTCCATTAAATGACGATCGTATTGGTACCTAATATGTTTATAATATGTATTTAAACAAAACATTTGAAAAATAGACCCAAACAATGTAAATGTTCTTATGGGTATAATAGCTTTGGACCAGGCATTTTGAGGATGCCCTTAATCTCTCATTTACTCGTTCTTTTTTGAAAAGGAGATCAAGTTGGCTCTCCTATAGTTTGATGGACGATCTCCATTAACCTTTTTGATCTAAGTATTATTATTACTTGTAGCAACAAACAAGATGTCCACGAATATCGAAATATGAACGGACATACAAATTTGAGTTTGAAGTTTATTAATGTAAAATCCAAACCCGAGCATCTCATTCCCATTGATCTAATTCTCATATTTCCAAATTTCTAACAAGTTTGTTACACAATGAGGCACAAGTGCAAAGCAAAAGAGCGTTGCACGATGCTGATCTAGGTGAATGAAAGGAACTCGAAATCATTGATGAGGGAAACGTGCCATCGAAACTAGAAGATATGGTTACCAATGAGGTTGGAGATGCAATGAAACTATCACGGAATAATGTGACTATGCCACACAAATTCCCTTTTCCAATGGGGGAGGAATTACAATATATTTGAACATCGACTTGAAATATGGATATCATCAAATGTGAGTAGATGACCACAATGTAGAAAATATGGCTTTTAGAACTCATGCGGGCCATTACGAGTTCCTTGTTACGCACTTCGGTCTCACAAATGCTCCATCCACCATCCAAGTGTCGAGGAATTGCATTTTCCTACCATTCCTACGTAAGTTCATCTTGGTTTGTATAACTCTTTCTATGATGAACACTATGTCATTTGGAGTGGTGTTTGATGAATTGAGGGACAATCAACTGTGTGCCAATAGAGCAAAATGCAACTCATGCAAGAGAAACTGAATATCTAAGGCATTGGATCTTGGCGGTTGGTGTGGAGGCCGATCTCAAGAAAGTGAGAACAAAGCTGGAATGGCCAATTCCTCTAAGGGCGTTTGAAGGGACCAACCGAGCCCGAAATCATTCAAGAGATTGAAGCAAGCCATGGTTACACGAACCATAGTCGCCCTCCCTGATTTCAGCTAACCATTTTTGGTGGAAACTGATGATTCAGGTACTGGTTTGGGAGTTTTCTTATCTCAAAAGAAGCAACCAACAGCATTCTTAAGCCATACTCTATCCTCCAAAGCTTAAGCCAAGTCTATATATTGGCAACCTTATTTGCTAGGGCAAAAGTTTAGTGTGAAGATTGATCAACACGCTCTAAAGCTTTTATTACAATACAAAAGGTGGGTTTCGAGACGGTTGGGCAACAATTTTGAAGTACGGTATCGCCTGGGACAAGAAAATAAGGTTGTTTAATTTGCCAGAGGAACAACAGATCATTGGCCATTTCACCTACTGGGTTACTTTTGCCATTGGGCATTCCTAAGAGAGTGTGGGAAGACATCTTGGTGGTCGGTGGTCGGTGATCGCTCGAGTAAGGCAGCCTATTTCCTTGCTATCAAGCATCCCTTCACGACAAAAATCGGTGGCCAATGTATTCACTAGAGAGGTAGCAAGACTACATGGCTACCCACACTCCATTGGATGAGAGTTTTTTATTGTCTAAGGGTAAGAGTTTTTCCTATGAATATCAATATATTGTAAGGAGATATCTTACAATTCCATACTTTGACGCCCATGTTACCAAAAGCTCCCATCAATGTAAACAATGACTACTAACTTCTAAGAGTGTATGAAAGATATAGTATAAGTAGTGAAATTTGATAAATCATCAATCTTCTTGAATGTTTAAATTTACATGCAGCCAAGGTGATTTCAGGTTATAATAACAATGTCAACCACATACCCGCAAACATGTCAAGAAAAGAACTTGGCCTGGCTATGGACAAAAGCACATGACACAACAATGGTTCATCACACCACTCCAGAAGGGAGTCGGAGGACGAGCTGTCCGCCCAAAACACTGCAAAATTTCAAGACAGAAGGTTCAGCCTAAGACGAAAAGTTATTGGTCTAAATTTCCAAATAAAAAACAACATGAAAGATCTGTATCTTGTTAAAAATAAGGGGGAAAAAACAAGTGCTAACCTCTTCACATAATAGTAACAGAAGTCGGCTAGGATGAAAGTTTGTACAACTTCTGAGATCAGAACCATAGATGGCCACAAACCATATCCGAGAGCTACTAGAAGATGTCCACGACTATCCAAGACCTAATTACCGAAAAGAAAGCGATGCATCACCCATCACAAATCACAAAAGTGAATTTGAAGACAGAAGAAATAAAGAGAGATGGACAATTAGTTATATTTATTATACAACTTAAAATGTGGTAGGTGGCATTACGGATAATTCGTTTGGAATAACACGACGCAGTAGAAGAACAAGAAACCAAAATAATAAAGTCCCGTTTGATAGCTATTTTGTTTTTAGTTTTTTATCGTTGAAAGTTAAGCCTATAAACATTACTTTCACACCATTTCCTTGTTTTTCTGTCTATTTGTTTAAATTGTTTTCAAAATCTGAGTTACATTTTGAAACTAGAAAGAGTAGGTTTTAAAAACTTGTGCTTGTTTTGAAAATTTTGTAGAGAATTCAAATGTGATTTAAAAAGCACCAAAGAAATCGTAAAGAAAAAAAGCCTAAATTTCAAGAGGAACTAAAATCAAGTGCGAAGATTTTTCGTTGTAAATTTCGACCTATAGCATTATCAATAACGAAGCAAGTACACATACAAAGCAATGCTAGAATCAAGAGAAGACTATACAAAACAAACCTGGAGAACCCAATGAGCGCAGCTAAGGAATCTTGCAATACCCAATGCAAATACATAATGCGCAGTAAATGGTTCAACAATCTGAAAGTTGGAGAGGGGAAAATGTTTAGCGTTACTACCTCACATCGTAGTTTCGTAAAGCAAGTAAATTCAGTTCATTATGCAATATCATACCTTAGTGTTCTGCATCACTCGCAACTGGGGTAGCACCGAAACGGCTTCCAGATACACACAAAATGCCCAGAAAACTCTGTTAACAAAGTGATGAGAAGTTGATGGATGAACAAGTAAAGCCAGGATAGCACAGGGTACTAGCTGCATCCAAAATGTAAAGGCAAGATATTAGTAAGCCACAAAAATACGCATCCGACTCATTAGTCCTGCACACAAGTTACAATGAAAAACCTCTTTGGATCAATGGCCACAAGAAAATATCCACGATTAATGATACTAACAAATGCTACAATGGAATTGCTTCTGAGAAAAAAGAACTAGTGATAACTGATATTAATAACAAATGCTACAATGGAACAGACGCAAACAGAACGAAACTTCTATATTCTTGGCAATGATGATATAAAATTCGACCAGTCGGTTTCTCCGAAAAATAGAAAAGGAGTCTAAAAAAAACAGAACCTTACCACATAATATAATGCAAAGTTGTCTTTATCCGCCATGTAGCTCGACTTAAGTTTGAAGCGGATCATATAGATCACCCAGAGGGTCGTGGCCAGTGTTGCTAAATCTAATATGGTGTGTATATCATACTCCATAACAAAACTACAATACAACCTCGCAGCCAAGAAAATAGCGGTTAATTCTTGAGACTTGAGTGATATTCCTGAGAAACCAGAATATGCTTCAGAATCATGTGTGGTAATGCATCAAAGAAAACTTCCAGATAAATCAAAAAGCTTACCTAAAAATGGTGAGGAAACAAGCATAATTTTAAAACCAAAAACAAAATGGATCAGACAAGGCCAAGTTTCTAGGAGATAACAACTTGTGCAGGTCTAGAATCCACACATTACAAGAACAACCACTCTAAATTGAACTCATAAATTGCTGCGTATGCAAATTAAATATTTGAATGAAGGATTAGAGATTAGATAGACACCCTAAAAAGTCCCTTGAAGATGAAACCTTTAGGTTAACATTCATTGTAACTAATAATTGGTATTCATGAATTCCCATAGCTCATCTCAGCTAAAAACTAAATAAATGCTGGAGAAGAAATAATTAGGGACAAGCAGGCAACGACATGATTTCCGAATCCACCCACGATAATACAAATTTTGACAAAAACTTTTACTCGTTAGTCACTCGATTGATACAAACCATTTTTCTAAGGGCATTTTGATACCAAAATTGAGGGATTACCAGCACAAGTCCTCTCCTTCATCAGCTTATAAATAAGAACCGAAATTCCAATGGAGTGCACTGCCTCGGCAGCGACAAATAGATTATCATGATCGTGAACAACGGACCGAAGAACGGCCAGAGCCACCATACCAAGCACGACGGCCAAAAAGGCCTTCGCCTTCGGCGGCTGTCGCCGGACCCATGAGGAGACGATATGGATCAGATTTCTTGACGGCCTCATGAGATAACTCCAATCCTTTCTTTTTCTGTTTTGTTGCAGGCCTGATCAGAGGCGGCGGAGGATTGATCTTCCGGCGAAATTTAGGCTTTGCGGCGAGCAACCGACGAAGAGAGAGGCAGGCGAACCGCGTACGATAAATTTTGACGGGTCCAACACTCCTTTGAGAAAAATGGCGAATTTGGGTTGTCGGGTCAACGCATCCGGGTCATGATTTAATATCCTAATAATTTAGTTTTTAATTTAGTGTTGTTAATACAAACTTTATAATAATTTAGTTTTTAATTTGATAATTATTTTTTATGGTTCCATTTTTATGAAATAAAAAGGCCTGATAATTATTTTTTTAGTTTTGGAGGATTATTTATAAATTCTTATCTAAAATTGCTTTTATAAAAACACTTCAATCCAGACTAATTTAAGCCAACAACGAAATTTAAGCCTTTTAATTGAGAGTGTGTTGGCTCGGTACGAGTCTTTGACTTTTACCTTATCGCTCTTTAATGTACCTTTCGGTTGAACGCACTTAAGCTTGTATACTTTCAAGCTTCTTGAACTAGTTTGAATTGGTCTACTTTCAGTAGTTGTCTCCTATAGATTAAATAAAGCTTGTATCATGCGATCTATATGCTATAACAATCATTGTTGTATCATTAGTGTATCCTTAGATTTGAAGAGTTTCATCATCGAAGCATGCAATATATTCCGCGTACTCTCTTCCAAACTCTGGTTGATTTTCAACTTGTGCATGTATTGTAGGTCTCTACTTACTACGAACTAAGGTCAATCTCCTTCTTCATTATTTTGTCGCACATTTCTTCTTGTCAGAGCTATTTTGCAGCTAAGTTAGCATGAGTGATAAGTGTTGGTCGGCCTCGACCGACAACTGCTTAGAGATTTCGATTACATTAGTTTATTTATATATATGTGTGTGAATATCAAAGAGCTATACCTTGACCAACCTTATCACTCACCTAGTTTAGAAGATGAGCAACGGCTTAGAGTTAGAGACACACCTCCCTCCACATTTTTCAAGCCTTCTAATTTCAAATCGACTAAGATTAACATAATGTACTAAAGTTCGAAGGAAGAACAAGTTCCTGGACGTGAACGAATAAACCATTAGGATGATATCGAAGTCAAAAAGTTAAATTATTTTCATAAAGTCGTGAACAGATCCATGGCTGTAAAAAGTAGATCTCGATGAGATAAAATTTAAAAAATAAAAGACTACCAAACACAGAAGTATAAATTATAATTAGGCAAAACCGCAGTAAAAAAACTGCCTCACTTGGTAAAAAAAACGTTTATCATGAAATAAATTAGATTTTCTGAAGACTAAAAAAAGAAAAAGGACAATAATTTTAAACTTATTTACATAAAAAATCAACGTTAAATCAAATCGTTGACGGGCTAGAAAAGGAACCAGCTCAACCTCTTTAAGAAAGCTTTACCTGGTCTCACTCAGACAATGGGGCAGAATCGAATGATTACGATCTCGACGATCAAGCAAGGTATAAACATTACCTCCGAGGTAAATTTCTTGCAAGACAGATATGGTTCCTCAATTCTTATGAACCTAGAAAGAAATGAGTCTGGATCATATCAGAATCAGACCTTTCCTTCATATTGGAAAAATTGTTTGTAATCCTGCTGCAATGTTGCCAGAGCATTTCTACATGGACCTTCTGTAGAGACAGAACAGCACAAAAATATGTGAACTTTTTGCATCTTCATTTCTGTTTGCTAAGAAAACTGTATGACTTGATGATACTTACCGCCAAATACAGTGTGAAGATATTGAAGATCCTCAGCTGAACAAGCATCTATTAGAGCATAGACACCGGGCCTTAACGCTTTGTCGATTTCCCTGCACCGGAATTGTCAAGATCATAAGCTAAGCATTTACTAGCCCCCGCTCGAGAAGAAGTTCAGCAAATTGTATTTGTAAGACTGTAGAACTATAATTTGCTAGCCCATATTTACAAATGGATACACTATGCATTATATTTGTAAGATTTAGAACTATAATTTGCTGAAATTTTTCTTTCATAGAAGTTTAGGATCCAAACCTTCTAATCCCGGATTTTAGGGGACCGAGTCCCGAGTAAACCGATATGTAATTCGAGAGAAACAGGGAGCAGTGTCGCCCTACAAATTCCCGCTGCTGTCTTATCTGTGTCATGGAAACAGAAAAAGGTATGTCACTTAGACAAACAAGAGACGAGACAGATGAATACAACTTTATTAGTATCAGAGTGAAATTTCGAATAGTACGAGATATTAACGAGTCCTATCATAAAGGGACGATCGATATTATCGATCCAATGACTAAGAGTATTTATTGCTAAACGGAGAAAAAAATTAATGCTGATGCTATTCAGGCTGTAGAACTCGAGCAATAAAAAGTTATCAAGAAATATTGACAGAAATATAAACCTCTTCATAAATTCTTCGGAGGAAACAAGCACACTTTACTCCCTCATCTACATTCCATGAAAAGTAACCACCCACAAGTTCCGGATCTGGATCTACTCTTTCAAGGGAATGAAGAAGAACGGACACTGATGCTTGTAGCTGAGCAATGGACTGCTTGCACTCACTATGGAAAACGACAAGATTAGTTCGATCATATCAAATCAAGGGTTTGAATGGAAGGCACAGTAAACAATCAAAATCGACTCCCTCAACAATTATCAATTTGATTCTAGCTTGACAAGACATGATTAGAGATCACCAGGATTTACATGAAGAATAATAACAAGGGTCTGAATTTCTTTACAATTACAGCTTACAAACATCAAAAGGCAACTATTTTCATTCTTCTAGCTCGACCAACAAAGATTAGAAAGTAATCGATAACCCCTAAATTACACGGTTCTGCCATTCAATTGTTCAAACTAGAACAAGTTTTGCTTTATGTAGTTAAAAAGACTACAAAATATTTCAAGAATCATCTGTAGTGAAACATCAAGTAACTAGTATAGTATCCAATCATCATGCAAGAATAAATCACCAGTAGAAAGTGATCAAACGAAGGAAAAATATTGATTACTCCGCAGCGAAAGATATTAAGAATCGCCTTTACAAATAAATTTCCGAACCTAAATCATACCTCTTATGATGCTTGAGAACGGTAAATAACAAACGGCAGCAGGCAGCGAAAAGATCTATTAAGAATTGTCTGTCTATAATCGAATTTCTTGTGGCTACAACTGTATTGGAAGCTTCCGGAGTTGAGATAAGGGAATTTTCTGATTGAACAGGAATTCCTGGGAGCTTAAGAGAAAAATCTTCAAAAAGTGCTGCAGGAATGCGTAAACACTGTGCTACATACCAAGCATTCATTTGGTATATAGCATGCTTCCCTGAAACTCTTGCAAGCACTTCAACAGACATAAGAATGACTGCTCCCGGATCTGGATCGCTCCTGCCTTTTGTGTCAATCGTTCTTACATAAAAAATATGTGGGCTCTGCAGGTGCAGAACTATGCTAAACAGACCAGCAATTAAGCTCTGAATGTGTCTTTTAACCACGCCCAAGCATTTACGTCCTAAAAAAACAAGTGAGAAAAGGAAAATTATATTCGGTTAAGATTGGTTAATTGGCCAAGCTTAAATTGCAGAACAAAGTTATCTTGAAGAACAGTTTATTAAAAGAATACATAGACATGATTATTTCACAATAGAGAACAAGCTAAAAGATATCAATTTCAATAATAACCTTTCGCCTTTGCTGCTCCTACATACAGGCAATGCAACATACGAGACCACGGAAAAGTAACATACAACTAATAAATATGCATAAACACTAGTACATGTTGAAAAGAGTTTGTAAGACCGTCCATTTACAAGGCTGCAAAAGAAGAAAAAGATTTGAAGGAATACATCAAAATAACAAAGCAAATAGTACATGCTCTTATATGGTGATGAAAAATTACCTGAAACAAATTCAAGAACCAGATCCAAACATTCAATACCAGCCGCAACAATAGAGGAACAGCTTCCCCCATCTTCACTTCCAGAACATAATTCATATGTCGCTGTACAACCTTCCTGCACTCCAACTAGGGCTCTCTCTATAGCTTGAATAGCAGATAAGAGATGCAACTCCGAGGCTTCCCTTATGAACACTTTGAATGACATTCTCAATGAAGCTTTAAATTCATCCATGCAGTAGATTACAGGAAAAGATGATTCTTCGAATAATCCACCATCAAGAGTCTTAGTAGTGGACTCCGTCTCATGGGATGCTAAAGTAGCTCTTTTTCTCTGTAGAGATATACACTTTCCCATTGCTTTCAAATGGAGATTTACAAGTCTAGAATATAGGTCTCTGGATTTCATTGGATCAGCAGAAGGAAACAGATGGCCTAATTCCTCCAGATACTTAAGAACACCATCTAAGCATGCAAACAAAAATGGTTCTGGCACTTCAACCATATTCTCAAATTCTAGCAACAAGAATCTTGAAAAGCCAATTAGGATGGCCATAAAACTTGATGACAGAGGAATTGTACCATATTGCTTATGCAATCTCAAAATGACTGAAGCAGCAAGAAATAGCTGTTTAAGTGCAAATGCTACATCAGGGTAGGATCCTTTCAGCAGTCCTTGCAAAAAGGATTGGTTAAACGATTGCATCTCAATTGTGTTAGCCTCATTGAGAATGGAGGCAACACTGCTTTTATTTTCCAATTTCAACCTTTTTTTATTTGTGCCACCACTTTCACTGCCATCATCACAATGGGAAGATTCTAATTCACGATGTTTACTAAATGAAGTATCAGCCTCAGAGCCAGAGTGCTTAACTGGGAGCTCATCTACAACCAAAAGGTCTTGAGATGGTTGATAATCACACAATTTTGTTGGCCATTGACTGTCTCTATCAAGAAACATTTCCAAGATAAGATCTAACAGTTCCGAAGTTGCATTCATACAAAGGTTAAGTTTGGAACTGTATTCAAATTTCAACTTCATTGATCTCGTGCGACGGTTACCATTCCTCAAATCAGTGTGGTCAACAGCAGAGGCTAGGCCCCACAAAAATCCATTAAGGCAAGAAGCTAGAGAATTAACTTTACACATTTGGGCACTATTTTTACCATCTCCAACTGACACATTAGACTTCCTCAGAGAAATAAGTTCACTCTCCACCTGTTC